AATAACAACACTCTGGGAGAAAGATCTCCTTATCTCTGCCTTAAATGGGTGACATCTTACGCTGTGATTAAGCTTTCAGGTCCTAGACTCTCTAACAAGGGGATCTCTTTGAATCTACCCTTCGAGTCTTACATGTTTCAATAAGACTGCCTCTCATTCTTCTAAACTCCAGTGAGTACAAGCATGGGGAAGCAATCTTCATCAGATTGCTGCTTCCATCAAATTTTGCTGATTCCAGTGCTGTTCTGCATTCTGACCAGATATTTGAAATCCAACTTCTTCAAAAATATAGATCGTATAGTCTCTCAAAGTTCATTGTAGGGCTGGAGCATCAGGGTTGGAAGAAAATGTGGGAACACTACAGGATGGCATTAGCCATTGTCACAAGGTCAGTTTAAAAAGTAAGCGTAAATATTAGTGAATAAATAAATGAGTGAATGGGTAAGTGGGTAGGACAGCAGGCAGTTGGGTAGATTGGCAGGTGGGTGAATGAGAACGTAGGTAGAGTGGCATAGGTAGGGTAACGTAGATAGATGAGATGGGTATATGGATGATTGGGTAGACAAGAAACAAGAAAAAGGAACAGAGGTAGACTCTACAAACTATCTAGCCAGCTTCACAATTCAGTACGATCATGGCCGATCTTGGGCTTCAACTCCACTTTCCCGACTACTCCTCACATCCCTCAGTTCTCTGAAAGACAAAAATAATGTCTATCCCAACCTTCAATATGTTCAGTGATGGAGATTTCATAGACCCTTGGGACAGAGAATTCCAAATGGACCCTTATATTGAGACTGTGTATCCTTGTTTTAGATTCTCTGCCCAGTGGAAACAAATCTCCTAATGTCTACCTTGCCAAGCCCCTTCAGAACAATGTAAATCTCAATAAAATCACCTCTTGTTCTACTAAACCCCAGAGAATATAGATCCAGTTTGCTCAGCCTCTCAACATAGGACAACCTGCTTATATCAAGGACCAATTTATTGAACCTCCACTGTACTGCATCCAATGCAAGTATATCTTTGAGTGGAGACCAAAACTGCCAAGGTGTACTCTCTCCAATACTGTATGATTGTAACAAAAATTATTCTTGGAATCCAACAGTTCTGCACACTGATTTTCTTTGTGTACCATGCACAAGTACACCCAATACTTTTTGAACATCAAAACATACAACTTCACACTTTCTGACATGATCATCCATTTGTTATATTGCTGTCTACTTATTTAACCTGTCTGTATCTCTTTGTGTCTCCCCATAGCTTGCTTTTCCTCCTTGCTTTATATCATCAGTAAACATGGATATATCACTTGGAGACAGTAAGGACTGCAGATGTTGGAAGCAAGAGTCAATAAAAGTGGAGTTGGAAAAGCACAGCAGGTCAGACAGCATCCAAGGAGCAGGGAAGTCA